GGGATAGCGATTATCTCCTTTTACAGTTCGCCAAATTGTTTGTGGTGACACTCCCAATACAGCCGACGCATTCCGAACGCTGGTCTCAGGATGATTGTCAAAATGTTGTAAAATACGATTCCCTGCCTGCAAATCTCTTCGTAACGCTGCTTGAAATCGGTTGTTTTCTTGTCGAATTGAAAATGATCCAGTCTCTCGCAATCTATTAAATGTCAACATAAACACTCTTCGGTTTGGCACTCTTCTGTTTGGAAATCGTCGTGCATATTCTCGCACCGCCTTTAAAGCATTACCGTTGCAGAAACCGTATACAAAAACCATATCAGCATATTCACTATTAGAATACGTACGCGGCATATTGCAAAAGACAAAATTCATCTACTGTTAAAGGCTTTCAAAGAGCGACTGACAAATTCATAACAGAAAGTGGAAAATGTAATCAAATATGTCGGTGCTAGATATGGCAAGAAATGTAAACATTTTTTTTCGATTTCTCTGAAACGGAGCAAAAACGAGCATATGTCTATAGGACTTTTTTTCTTAGTTTTTTACTCCTCTACACGCTCCCGAAGTTTTGCCATTTAATTTGGAAACACCCTGTATATATCTTTCTCTCTCGTAGGATTTTGTCACAATCGCTCGTGTCCAAAGTCTCGTGAGACCACTTCAGGGGGTCGGACGTGTCTCCTCTCGTCACGAGTGTTGCGTCACCTCGAATATACTTTTGAAAAGCGTGGTGACCGCCTGGCCGCCTGGCCGCCTGACCACCACTGACAATTGACACATATTTCTGATTTATTTATGTCTATATAATTTGGGAATCGTTTGGGGAAATTTGGGAAAAGCATTTAAACATTTGGGGGAAATAGGATTTTTCTTGTTATTAACAAATTTTATCATGCGTCAAGTTAGCAGACAGAGATTTTATTTAATGTGTTTTATGAATGGAATCGATTAGAAATTATGTGGGGAAGACGTCTTCATTATTATTTTCATTTGGGAAAAATAAAAATTTGTTAATTTTAAAAAAGATACTTAATTTTAAAAAAGATACAAAAACAATACTATTTCCCAAATGTTTAAATGCTTTCCTCAAATTTCCCCAAACGATTTCCAAATTATATAGACATAAATGAATCAGAAATATTCAATTTGTCTACTATCTTGTCAGTGGTATCTATAGTCCGGACTAAATCTCAAGCAATGTCTTAA